GAGTTACAGACAGTTGTGAGCGGCCATGTGGGTGCTGGGAATTGAACCTGGGTCCTCTGGAAGAACAGTCAGTGCTCTTAACTGCTGAGCCATCTCTTTAGCCCCAAGCTTGTTCCTTTCTGACTCCATTAGGTAGGGGCCAGGAATGAGGATGTCCCAACTGCCCTTCCAGATCTACTCTACCCATTTGGCCAGAGACAAAACTCAAGGGCCACATCTGTGTCCGCCTGCTTCCTGCTAGGCTCAGTGGACAGAGCCCCAGCAGATAGAGGGAGGCAAGAGAGGGAAGCAGGCCTACAAGATGGTTTCAAGGGGTAGGAAGGGGCTCTAAAACACTTTTCCCTTCTAGGCTCCACAACATACAATTCTTTCCCTAACCTAGCTACTGGACCAGGACTTTTTTTGTTAGTTTTGTTTTTTTAACAACTCTGTCTCCCTTCACCAAGCCACTGTCGAAAACAAAACAAAACAACAACAAATATCAAAACCCTCAAATCATCCTCAAAGCAACATGTCCCAAGGTGGCTCTGAATCACCTGCTTACAGCTCACAGTGTATTATCAAGCTGCTTTCATAGTCATCTAGACTTGTTTTTTTTTTTTTTTTCCAGAGTCTTATATAATCCAAACTATTTTCAAACTCACCATGTAGCTAAGGATGGTCCTGCCTTCACCTGAGTGCGGGGTGTGCGCCACCACACTAGCTTTTTTGTCTTTAATACATATTTTCATTTTTGTGTCTCTGTGTGTATGGACTGTGTGTGTGTGCAGATGCCAGAGGCCAGAAGAGGGTGTCATATCCCCTGGAGCTATTGTTACTGTTCTTTGGGAGCCCCTCAGTCTGGGTGCCAGGATCCGAACTCAGGTCCTCTGGAAGAGCAGCACTCTCAACCATGGAGACCTCTCTCCAGTTCAGTTTTTCTGGTGGTGTGGTTTTTGTTGTTTTTGGGTCTTTTTGAAGGGAGGGTGTTTTTGTTTTTTGGAGACAGGTTCTCTCTAAATAGCCCTGGGTGTCCTGGAACTCTCCATGTACACCAAGCTGGCCTCAACTCACAGAGATCCACCTGTCTCTGCCTCCCTGGGATTAAAGGCATGTGCTACCATGCCCAGTTTGGATTTTTTTTAAATGCTGGTATTACATCCATGAACCATCATGCTTGACTCTGACAACAGGATCCTATCTCATCTCACTCCATCCTACTACTTAATTCTCTTAGCGCCATGGCAAATTATTATTGAAGAGGCAGATTTGCTGTATCCCATCTCCTGGCCAGCAAACCAAAAAAACAAATAAACAAAATGAAAAACTTTCTTCCTAAGGGATCTCAGCCCCCTATAGGAGGAAGTTCCATATTCATCATGGCCAGCAACGCCCTTTGTGGCCTGGCTTCTGTTGCCCATTCAACTGCATGTTATTCAGAAAGTGGACCACAAGCATAGTCTGCAGCATCCAGCCCGTTCACATCCACACGTGCAGGTCCATACAGACCCTGAAAGGCTCTTCTCCCAACTCATAGCTGACCCATCCCTGCCTACTGTTGAGTTTGTCAAAAGAACAAAGAACGCTGGAGAAACCAGTTCTCAGCCTGGCAGGATTGTCTAGGCCTATGCTGCTGGAGCCAAGAACATAGCAAGAGCTCTTGCTGTGGTCTGGGCTAGGAACTGAGGACCAATCTCTTTTCACCCTCTTCCTAGGTGGTTAAGTCAGACCCAGGGCTAAGAATGTCGTATAGTTGGTTGTGTGCTTGCCTAGTGTGCTTGAGGCCCTTGGTTTGATTCCCTAGTACCACATAAGGCAGGCACAGGAGTGCATGCCTACAATCCTGGCACTTGGGAGGCAGAGGCAGGTGGATCTCTGTGAGTTCGAGGCCATCCTGGTCAACATAGTGAGTTCCAGGACAGCCAGGGGTACACAGTATAACCTTGTCTCGGGAAGAAAAAAAAAAAGTTCAAAGTCATCTTTTCTTTGAGGCCAGCATAGGGTGCTACAAGAGACTCTTGTTTCAAGACCAAAACAACAAAATGAGACCTGGTAGTCCCAGCTGTGTGCCCTTGGGCCAGATACCTTTTCTCCACAGTGGTATTTCCTCCTTGGAGGATAGTCTGCTACAGACTGAAGAAGAGTATGTTGGCAAAGCATGCTGGGCTGGCACATTCTAGGTGAGCCACGTGGCCTGTGATAGAGCACTTGGGATATCTCCTGATGCTGGAATGAGTGGAGAGGTGAAGACTTCTCCGGAGTATGTGAGAGGTGAACTCTGTCCCCAGAGAGAGGTGACGTTCCAAGCTTAGGGTATGCGAAAGATTTACAAAAAAAAAAAAAAAAAAAAAAATAGTAGTATTCCATAGCCCGCTGCCCACTATGAGAAAGTCTGGGAGGAGAGAATAAGAGGCTACCTGTCTCCCAGGCAGAAAAAAAAAAAGGCAGTAGTGTTTCCCAAGTCTCACCTTCAGTGTCAACAGCAGCTGGACAGCATTGGTGAAGGGCGTGGGAGTGGGCAGGCCCAGCAGGCTGAGGGCTCGGAAGAAGAGGAGGTAGGAGAAGGTCCAGGCGAGAGCCAGGGCATGGCAGGAGCTAGGACAGAGGTGGGAAGTTAGAGTGTTGAGTACAAGGATGACCTTAGCCTCTGCTTCCTTCTCCTGAGGGTGGCTTCATACCCCCCCACCCCCCATTCAGACAGAAAAGAAGAGAGAGGGGGAGGACTGGTGGGTGGCCGGCAGGGACAGAAGAACACAGCCAGAGAGAAGAAAAGAATGAGGAGGAGTTAAGAGGGAAGCTTTGTGGGTGAAGAAGGCATCTCAGCCCTCTGTAAGGTCCAGAGCTCAAGACGGGCTTACGAATGACTATCATGTGGATATGGAGGACTGGGGCAAATATGTGGGGACAAGAAGGTCCAGAACACGGTGGGAGAGGAGGAAAAATGGCCAAGACACAGAGAGAGAGACACATGAGATGAACAAGAGGCTGAAAGAGGCGAAATTGGAAGACCCAAAGAGGAAACAGGTTGTTGTTTCTCTGCATCCTCTTTTCCTCGTTCTCACCAGGGCTGGGCCTGAATGAGGGCCCAAGTTCCCAAGATGGTGATCAGAGAATGCAAAGTGTGGGGGCCACAGGTGAATAAGGTGAGCCCCAGGCCCACCGCTGCTGCCCCCCATCTCTTCAGCCCAGGTCCTGAAAGGAAAAGGTAAAGTATAAGCCTAGACCCTTCAGGCGGGGGTGATCCCCACCTCCGCTCCCTCACCCTAATTTTCCACTGGGCACGGAACCTGACTCACCCGCTTTCTTAAAGAGGAAGCCGATAGGGATGGAGATAAGAAGGACCATTAGATATGTCCATTCTTCGGGTGTCATGGTCTGGTGGAGGAAGGGCTCACAGTGAGAACCAGTACTCCAGTCCCTTCCTCTTTTCATAGTAGAATCCCCTACTTTTGAGAACCCAGGCCTCCAGCTCACCCCCCCTTCCAGGACCCAGAAGTCAAGCCCCCACCCCAACCCTCCGCCAATGTAGAAATCAAAAGTGCTTCTCTTACCCTCATTTAAGACCCAGACAACCAGACACCTTCCGGTCCGGAAAACAATCCTTTGCAAGACCCTTCTCTAACAGTCCAGGAATCCACATCACCTCCACCCTCCTCTGAGTACACAGGAACCCTTTAGACTGCTCTCTGGATCCCCGGTCTCCCCTACGTCTCAGAGGACCGAAGAACCCAGGACTCCTACCCCCACTCAGCTCGGAAGAACCCAGCATTTAGCATCCACCTGTCTTCAGAGCTCTGGCCTCCTCTCCAACCCAGACCCTGGAGAGAAGGCAATGTCTCATCTGCAGGCTCCCTCCGTAGCCCAGCCCCGTGCAGCCCAGCGTGGATCTGATTCCGCCCCAGCAGATCCACAGGCGGTTACGCCACCCAGCCGGGGACCACGCTCTGGGTTGCTGTCCCCGCACCTCGCCACCCTACGATCTTAGGGCGACGCCGCCACACATACCCACCCTGGCCCACCTGAACCGTCAGCCGGCCAGGAGGCTGCGGAGGAGCCCTCTTTCGCGATCGCCTCTGCTCGGGCCACGCCTCCCCAGATCAGCACGCCCCCGCACGGACTGTTTCAGATGGTGCCCGCAGAGCTGCGCGGTGCAGGGCCCGGGAGCGGCTGAAGTACAGGATACAGCACCGCAGGAAAAGAACCCAGAACACCAGTGCACGCCAGGATGCCAGCCGCGTTCTTTCAGGGAGGCCCCAGGGCAAAGAGCTGCCAGTACGTGAGGGGGCGGGGCTTCGGGAGAGAGAGGCGGGGCCAAGCCTTCGAGTCCGGAGGAAACGGGTTGAGACTGGAGAAGGAGAGGAGGCGGGACCTGGAGCACGGCGTTCGGAAAGAGGCGGACCCTCAGCTTCGGATTCCTTCGGGCACACTCGGTAGTTCAAGCTCACGGCGTGGTGGTGGGGCCGCGAGCTTCGGCTTACTTCGGAGAGGGTCGCATTCGAAAGTCACGGTTCGGAATTAGATGCGTTCTCTAACTCGGCCGGATGTGGGCGGGGCCACGCGCTTCGGCGTGTTCCGGAGATAATCGGTTCCAAAAGTCGCTGTTCAGCCTTAGGCGGGTTCACAAACGCAGCACGATGTGGGCGGGGCCGCATGCTTTCGGCTAACTTCGGAGACAGTCGGAATCAGGCGGGGTGGGAGGTGTCAGAGACTAGCAGGATGTGGGCGGGGCCAAGTCCTTGGGCTCATTTCGGAGCGCTGGAAACGTTTTGGGTCACTGTCAAAGGCCAGTGAGGCCAACAGTGTTGGCTTAACTCAGGAAACAATCGGGTGTAAGTGGACTTGGTTTAATAACAGCAGGAGCCAACAGCTTCTCGAAACGTCGAGCCTTTTTGGGGAGGGAGGAAGGCGGAGCCATAGAAGGCCGGGAAAAGGTGACAGGCGAGATCATCCGTAACGGGGCGGGGCCTACATGACTCGTTGGACGTGGGGGTGGAGACAAGAGCGATGACCCCCCGCAAGGTCCCCCTTTTTAGAGACCGAGCGGTAGTGCGAGCTCGCCTCAGGCTTTCCGCTTTGCGGACGTGACGGGGTGACGGAGGACGCCCTACGTCGACGGAGCCTGCTCCGCCTCCACCGAGAGTGTGGGCCAGGCGCTGACTTGCTGGCGCCGCCCGAGGACGGTGCGGCAGAGCGAAGGGGAGCCGAGGCGTCTGCTGCGCCCTGAGTGCGAGGGCTGGGGGTTCCATCGCGTGCGCGGACTCCCGGAATTGGGTAGGGAGGGGGCGGGGGCCGCAGCCGGGAGGGTTGGCGGGCTCTGGCTGGGCGCCAGTGCCGAACCTCTTGCCAAGGACTTGGAAGGGGTGGCGGGTTCGACCGAGCCGGGATCGCCGGAAGAAGAGGCTGAAACGCTTGTGTTCGGGGTGGGCCGGGCTCCCGATGGAGCCGAGCCGAGGAGGCTGGAACCTCGAACGGCTTGCGCAGCCCGGGACTGGGTTTCTTTTAAAGCCCGACCGGGCGAATAGGCGGGAAAAGGCGAACCTCGGGAATTGGAGGCGGGAGGGGCTGGGCTCCCAGTTTCTAGAAGAGGGTGTGGCTTGAGCAGACCGCCGCTCCACGTCCAGGTTCCAGAGACCTGACGGACACGCCCGAAGGAAGACACGCACTTTGGCGGAAAAGGGCGGTGCGACCGCCGTGGCGGGAGGTCTCCCTGAGGAGACGTTGATGCGGTGGCACGCACTGGCAGAGACGATGGTCACCGGGAGCTGAAGGGGAGCGGAACGGTGGGACCTGCCCGGGAGGCGTGGTCTTGAACGGTCCTTCCGGGTGGGGCTCGGGCCTGGGGCGCAGGTGGCAACCCCGGCCCCGCCCTCCCTCGGGTTCAGGGGGCGGGGCCTCGCTTGCACTGGGGCGTGGAAGGCTTCGGTCGGGTCCGCGGGGCTGTCGGGGTGACCGCGTCGCCTCCTACCCTGCAGGAGGATGCTGGTGGTGGAGGTCGCTAATGGCCGCTCGCTGGTGTGGGGAGCTGAGGCGGTGCAGGCGCTGCGGGAGCGCTTGGGAGTCGGGGGCCGCACGGTGGGAGCCCTGCCCCGCGGGCCCCGCCAGAACTCGCGCCTGGGCCTCCCGCTTCTGCTGTTGCCCGAAGAGGCCCGGCTCCTGGCCGAGATAGGCGCCGTGACGCTGGTCAGCGCCCCGCGTCCGGATCCCCGCAGCCATGGCCTGGTAAGAAGCGAAAGGGCCTTGTGGTGGGAATGCCTGGGAGGGCCTGGTCTGTAAGCAGGGTCAGAAATCCTGTCTTCCTAAGGGATCGCAGGCTGTGTGTGCCCTGGGGTTCCAGCTAAGTGTACTTCTCAGGCCCTAGCATCGTTCAAACGCCAGCAAGAGCAGAGTTTCCAGGAGCAGAGCACTTTGGCAGCCGAGGCCCGTGAGACCCGGCGTCAGGAGCTCCAAGAGAAGATCGAAGAGGGCCAGGCCGCCAAGAAGCAGAAGCTGGAACAGGATTCAGGGGCGGAAGAAGGCCAAGAAGCCGGTGGAAGCGAAGCTACCCAAGCGAGTGAGACAAGTGGTGATGGGCAGGCTTCTGCGGAGCAGGAGGGAGCAGGTGAGAATAGGGTTTGGAGTTCAGATTTGGGGCAGGAGGGAAGGAAGCCTTGGGGAATTTTAGTTGGGGTTTTTCTGGGGATAAGGAGACCTTGCCTTGTGGATTCAGTAAATTCTTCTCTACACCTCCCCCAGACTCTTCATCTCCCCAACCAGGGCCTTCAAACGGGGTGACCCCCTTGCCCAGGTCAGCCCTGCTCATCCAGCTGGCCACTGCCAGGCCTCGGCCTGTAAAGGCTAAGCCTCTGGACTGGCGTGTGCAGTCCAAAGACTGGCCCCACGCTGGCCGTCCTGCCCACGAGCTGCGCTACAGCATCTACCGAGACCTGTGGGAGAGAGGCTTCTTCCTCAGCGCAGCTGGGAAGTTTGGTGGTGACTTCCTGGTCTATCCTGGTGAGTTGAGGTTGGGGCTCTAGTGGCTGTACCTTTCCTGATGGTCTTTGTTCTGCATTTTTCTCTCTTGTGTCACCTCTATGCCCTGGGGACACAGAAAAGTACAGCAAATAATGTGAGAGTTCTCCTGAGCTCCTGGAGAGTAGTTTAATAACTTGTTTTGTTTGAGACAGGGTCTCATGTCGCCAGAAGAGCTTGGAATTTGCTACGGTGCACAGGCTAGCCTTGGAATGCAAAGTCTTGCTTTCTCTACTTCTCAAGTGTTGGGATTACAGGCTTATGTCACAACAGCTGGCTTGATTTAGTAACTTTTCATAAGTACTCTGTGTGATCGAGAAGATTGGCTTAGAAATGCTTAAAAATGTTCACAGAACATATGAGCACATTCGCTACAGGATTCTTTATAGATTGAAAGATACAGATTTTGAAAGATTAAAAGCAACAAAATCACTAATAGGTTGGAAACAAAACATAGCAATTAAGCCAGAGAGGTGGTCTCTTCCTTTAATCCCAGCACTGGAGAGGCAGAGGTACGTGTATCTCTGAGTTCCAGGCCATCCAGGAGGCATAGAGACAGTCTCAGAACAACAGCAAGAAAAATAGCAGCAACAACAACGAAACAGTTGTCTGAGAAACATAGGAGTAATTATCAAAGAATTGATGTGTAGGATTATAGCTGGGTATGGTGGTACATGCCTCTAATGATAAGTGGAAGCATAGCCACTTTGAGACTAGCTTTGGCTACATGATACCCCATCTCAACAAAGAAAAAAAAATGGGGTGTGATGGCCATACCTGTAATCTTGGCACTTGAGAGTCTGAGACAGGATGATTGCCACAAGTTTGAGACCTATATAGGCTACATAGTGAGTTCAGGTGAGCCAGGGCTGGGTATCAAGACCTGTCTGAAAAAAGGAAAAAAAAAAAAATTAAAAATAAATAAATGTAGGGTCACCAGGTGGTGGCAGCACACACCTTTAACCCCAGCACTCGGGAGGCAGAGGCAGGTAGTTCGTGTGAGTTCAAAGCCATCCTGGTCTACCGAACGAGTTCCAGGACAGTCAGAGCTACATAGAGAAACCCTGTATCGGGGGAAAAAAAAAAAAGTAGGGTCATGTATGTGAAAAATACAATCAAAAGTAAAATGACAGGTGGTTGAAAATGCATGCCATTTAAGTACCCTTGATCGTTGAAGTTCTAGCTAGGTCTGAGTAAGGTGATATGTACCTGTATCCCCAGCTACTTGGGAACCTGCAGCTTAAAATAACTAGTTCAAATCAGTTAATTACCTAATCCTATACCTTGTTTGTTTATTTATTTATTTATTTATTTGAGGTAGGGGCTCATTGTGTAGCTCTGACTGGCCCAGAATTTGCTGTGTAGACCAGGGTAGACTTAAACTCACAGAGCCTGCCTCTGCCTCCCAAGTGCTCAGATTAAAGGCTTGCACCACCATGCCGGGCAATCTCAGTTTTTTAAGATAAGGTCTACTGTGTAACCCTGACTGGCCTCAGACAGAGATCCACCTGTCTGTCTCTAGAGTGCTGGAATTAAAGGCATCTGCTTACCACACCAGGACTTTCTTTTCTTTTCATGCAAAATCTCACTATCAAATCCCAAGTCCAGTTTACTACCTGACACAGTTGGAAGCATCTTCTTGCCTCGGCCTCCCTAGTGCTAGGATGGCAAATGTGTGCCACCACACCCAGCTCTAATTCTACACATTAAATTGAACCACAAGCTAAACCGTTTGTTCTTTTCTTGCCTCTTTTACTTCTTTTTAACAGAGTGGTACATGTCACCCAGGCTGGCCTCAAACGTGGGAGTGCTGAGGTGATTAAAAAAATGCATAAGCATTCAGGCCTGGCATAGACCAGTTAGTTCTAATACGTCACTATTTCTAAAACAGTACTCAGTGTACGGGACACTGAGAGAATCCTTGTCTCCTGTGAAATAGTGTCCAAAGCCTCAGTCACTGTAATGCTTCTAAGTTTATTTTTAAATTTTGCCTGAGGCTCAAAGTTGCTAAGCCTCCAGGAAAACAGTTACGGGATTAGTTCCTCAAGCATATTGATGTACCCTCTCAGCTGGTGGGAGCCTTTTAACAGCCAGAGACTCTGGCTTCTGGCTAGGCTCTTGCCAGGAGCCCAGCTGCCAGGCAGGGATATAGCAACAGTCCCCTTAGAATGCCACACAGTCTCATGGTTTAGATTCTCATCCCCTCCCCCCTCTTAAAGATTGTTCCTTTGTGTGTGTGTGTGTTAGTATGTGTGCATGTGTGTGGTTGCACAGGGAGACTAGAAGATGGCATGGATACTCCTGGAGCTGGAGTTATAGGCAGTTGTGAGTTATTTGATGTGACTGCTAGGAAGGAACTGAACTCGGGTCCTCTGGAAGAGTGGTAGGCGTTCTTAATCGCTGAGCCATCTTGCCAGCTCCACATTTTAAATTTCCATTGCCTGTGATTCACCGTCTTGTACAGTCTTACTTAGATTTCTATCCTGCTAATTTAGATTCACCTATTCGAGGGACAGACTGAGCTGTTCAGTAACTAAAGCCATCCGAGGGCCTCTGCTTACAGAGCCCGTGGCTGCTGCGCTATGCTGGCAGAGCTAAGTAGTTGCAAAAAGGCCCACAAAACTTTCCTGCCTGGCTCTTTTTTTTTTTTTTTTTTTTTTTTTGAAAATCCTATTGACTTATTTTTTGTTTGTTTGTTTGGTTTGTTTGTTTGTTTTTCCTAGACAGGGTTTCTCTGTGTAGCCCTGGCTGGCCTGGAACTAGCTCTGTAGACCAGGCTGGCCTGGAACTCAGAGGTCCACCTGCCTCTGCCTCCCAAGTGCTGGAATTAGCAAAGGACTTTAATTTTTGCTCTATCCTGTCATAAAATCTTTTTTTCTTTAGCCTAGTAGAGTCTCAGACTGGCTTCGTTTTTGTTTTGTGGTTGCAGTACTAGGGATCAGATCTTGCCTGTGCTCCATAAGTGGTCTACTAATGAGCTACACCCCAGCACTTGTGGCTTATCTTTTAATCTTGACTTACTTTCTTTTTTTTCTCATTTTTTTTGGAGGGGTGTGTGTGTGTAAAATGTCTTTCTGTGTGGTGCCCAGGTTGGCCTTGAGTCCCCAGCCTAAGCCTTCTAAGTGCTTGAGGTTACAAGCATGTCTCGCCATATCCTTTAATCGTGATAGTTATGTATTGTTTAGGCTTATAGGTGTACCTTGTACCACAGAAGTTATTATTCTGTGCTTTCTATTCTGTTTTTTGGCAATTGTGAAGCCATCTTGGTCCATTGAAACTAACCTGGGCCACATGAAACAGCTGTCTCCAAAAAAGGGAAAAAGAGGGCTGGAGAGATGGCTTAGCAGTTAAGAGCACTGACTGCTTTTCCAGAGGACCCAGGTTCAATTCCCAGCACCCATATGAGCTCACAACTGTCTGTAACTCCAAGACACCCTACATTCAGGCAAAACACCAATGCACAGGAAATAAAAATAGATATAAAAAGAGAGAGAGAGAAGATCCTTAAGAGTAGAGATGCCAGGTGTAGTAGTGTACACCTTTATTCCTAGCACTTGGGAAACAGGCAGGCAGATTTCTGTGGTTTGAGGCCGGCTTGGTCTATATAGTGAGTTCCAGAACAGCCAGAGCCATATATAGAGAAACTCCGTGCGCCCCCCCCCCCCCAAAAAAAAAAGTAGAGTAGATGGGTCCAAGGGTATGTGTTTCAAAATATTCAGTGTGTGCTGCGATGTCCATGAAGCCCCTAATTCCAGCTACTCAGAAAGCTATGACAGGAGAATGAGAATGCCAAGGTTAGGGTGAGTGTGAGCTACAGGGCAAGTTCAAGACTAGCATGGGTGCTAGAGAGATGGCTCAGTGGTGCTCTTGCAGAGGACCCAGACAGATCTGGTTCCCAGCACTCACATGGTGGCTCCAAACACCTGTAACCCCAGTTCTGTGGGTTACCCTAGTTCTCTCTTCTGGCCTATGCAGGTACCAGCCATACACATGGTACACATACATGCATGCAGACAAGCAAACACTCATATACTTAATTAATCAGGAAGTGGTACTTACTAAATATTTCCTTAATCTACACAAGGCCCTGGCTTCTATATCCAGCACACAAAGGAACCAAAAATGCAGTAAGCAGAAGATCCCTTGTCGGTGTTCCAGCCTCTGCAGACGGGAACTGCTAATGCATCTGTCTCTTTCCTCCAGGTGACCCGCTGCGTTTCCACGCTCACTACATTGCTCAGTGCTGGGCGGCTGAAGACCCCATCCCACTTCAGGACCTGGTCTCTGCTGGCCGCCTGGGAACCAGTGTCAGAAAGACCCTGCTTCTCTGCTCCCCTCAGCCTGATGGGAAGGTGGTCTACACCTCCCTGCAGTGGGCCAGCCTGCAGTGAGCTGCAGGAGACCGAGGGAGGTGTGGTTGTGGGTCGCAAGAACCCTTCTGGATGGTCACTCCAGCTTGTCTCCACATGGAGGCTTGTGCCCTGCCTGGTTAGTTCTGATTCCAGAGTTTTGAACACTACATCCTTTCTAGTTTTTTTCTGTTTTAAGGCACTTAGTAGCAGTGTTGTTTTTTATTTCTGTTTCCATACTGTGAGCTTGTTCAGAGTTGAGACTGCTCTTACTTGGCTTTTTTGTTTTCTACAGGGCAGGTCTCAATAAATTTGTTGAATAAATGTTTGTATTTTGAGTCCTTACAGCAATCTTTGAAATGTGGAGTTTTTATTCCTATATTCAGATGAGAAAAGGGAAGGGGAAATGACTTGCTCAGGGTCACAAAACTAATAACTACCAGGCCTGGGGCTTTACACTTGGTCTTTCTGATTCAGCAGTCTGCTTAGATTTTTTTATTACATTTATTTATTGTATATATACATGTGTATGTATGTGGGCACGAATGTGCCATGGAACATATGCGGAGTTCAGAGAAGAATTTGAGAAAGCCTGCTCTTTTTACCATGTGGGTCTCGGATCGAACTCAGGTTATCAGACTTGCCATCAAGCACCTTTAACTGCTGAGCCATCTCACTGGCCCCCTTGAGATTGCTGGAAACCATTTCAGATGCATATAAAGGTTATAACTAAAAATGTTGCATGAGCTGGTTGTGGTGGTGTACACCAGTATAGTAAGGTAGACTGAAGAGGCAAAGGCAGGAGGATCATGAGTGTGAGGCCTGCTTGGGCTACACCTTTGGGGCTATAGCGATGGCTCAGTAGTTGAGCTTTTCGAAAGGACCTACGTTCAGTTCTAAACACCCATTTAGGACAGCTCACAAAGTGCCTGTAACTCCATCTTCAGGGAATTTGGCACCCTGTTCTGCCCTCCACAGGCAACTCCACTCAGGTGCATATACCCACACATACACATAGTTAAAAACAGCTGGGTGTGGTGGTATACACTTTGAATCCCAGTGCTCAGATAGGAGAAGCAGGAGGATCTTTGAATTCAAGGCTAGCCTGGTCTGTATAGCAAGTTCCAGACCAGCAAGACCTATTGCAGATAAATAAGGGCTGGAGAGATGGTTAAGAGTACTTGGTGCTCTTGCAAAGGGACTGGGTTTGGTTCACAGCACACACAGGGCTCACAAACACCTCTAACTCCAGTTTCTGGGCATCCAACCCTTTCTGGCCCTTGAAGACACTAAGTTCACACATGGGAACGTATATATCTGCAGGCAAAACACCTGTATACATTAAGTCATTTTTTTTTTCTTTTTTTTTTTTTCTCGGAGCTGAGGACCGAACCCAGGGCTTTGTGCTTGCTAGGCAAGCACTCTACCACTGAGCTAAATCCCCAACCCCACATTAAGTCATTTTTAAAAATTAAAAATTGCCGGGCGGTGGTGGCACATGCCTTTAATCTCAGTACTTGGGAGGCAGAGCCAGGCAGATCTCTGAGTTTGAGGCCAGTCGTCTACAGAGCGAGATCCAGGACAGGCACGAAAACTACACAGAGAAACCCTGTCTCGAAAAATAAAACAAAACAAAAACATTAAAAATTGGAACTGGAAAAAAAATGGCTTAGCAGTTAAGAGCACTAGCTGCTCTTCCAGAGGACCCAAGTTCATCCCAGCACCCACATGGCAGCTCACAATTATCTGTAACTCCCAATTCCAGGGGATTTGACACTCAACACAGACAGGCAAAATACCAATGCACGTAAAATTAAAAAAAAAAAAAAAAAAAAAAACGTAAATACTTGACACGTAGAAAGTAAACTATAGTCTGTCTACCTGTCCCCTACCCTCACTCTGTCCTCCCAGACTAAATGAACAAGATCCTTGCCTGAGTATGTAAATGCAAAAATAAATTTCTACCAGTCAAACAGGTTAAAATAAAAGAATACCTGATCTAGGCCTAGTGGTACAGGCCTGTCCTCTTAGCTACTCAGGGACATCATACCTATGAAATTGAGGCCAGCCTGTCTACATAGTTCCAGGATAGCCAGGGCTAGGTACATAGACCCTGTTTCCCCACAAAGAAATAAAGCCGGGCGTGGTGGTGGTGCACACTTTCAATCCCAGCACTTGGGAGGCAGAGGCAGGTGGGTCGGTGCGTTTCAGGCCTGCTTGGTCTACACTGCCGGCTCCAGGAAAACCAGGACTAAGCAGAAAGACCTTGGGGTGGGGGGAGAGGGGGGAGGGAGAGACACGACAACAAACCCCAACCAAAGGAAATATCTGTAGGAGAATGGGTTGTAATACCAGCACTTTGGGAAGTATAGGAAGGAGGATCAGGAATGCATGGTCATTTGTTGGGATACCCTGACTCAAAAACAATAAATAAAACAGGAGAGACTTATAGGCCAAGATGATGGGGGGGGGATTTTCTTATTTAAGAGTTCCTCTTTCCAGATATGTCTAGGTTTGTGTCAAGCTGACAAAAACGAACCGGCACAGCAAGCATATTTCAATATTAGAAGCCCAGCACGGTGGCCCACACCTAATATCCTAGGCATTTGTATGGCCAAGATAAGGGCATTGTCACGAGACTGAGACCATGGTGGGGAACCTTGGCTGCTGCCCTGAATCTCCTGTGAGCTTTTTCCTAAGAGTCCTTGTTAAAACAAAAAGTGACAACTGCAGCGCGTTACTTTATGCCTTTGCCCTGGAAGCGGCAGCTCCGTTAATCCTTGGATTAAAGCAAGGATGTCACGTCTGCTCTTCAGCCGCCCAACCGCCTCACTGGTAAGTCCGCCCAGCGCAGCGCCGCTCTGGCCTACCCGCGCCACTCTATTGCTTCCCCGCTTCTGATTGGCGAAGCCGCGAGCGGTGCGCGATGACGTCATGGCCAAGCGACGTTGCTATAAGACCGCGGTCCGGCGGAAGCGTCTCTCTTTGTCACGGGCGTGAGTTCGTAGGTGAGCATCGTGTGCGTAATGTAGTTAGCATTTTGGGGAGACGGTGTAAGGTAATGGAGCCACTCAGAAGTTTACGGACACGCTAAGGGAGAGGGGCGGGAAGAAGGTGCTTGGACATTATTGCAGCACGGTGGTGGAAAAAAAATCTCGGTTCCAAATTTTCTAAGGCGGTTCTCGCGAGAGCCGAGTTGGTGTGGGCTCGCGGGGTTTGGCTGCGTAGGCGCCATGACACTTTTTTAAACACGACCCTTTGCGCAGGCGCGGCGGGCCTAGAGAAGCCAACATGCCGGTTGCCAGAAGTTGGGTTTGTCGCAAAACCTATGTGACCCCACGGAGACCCTTCGAGAAATCCCGTCTCGACCAGGAACTGAAGCTGATCGGTGAGTGGCCAAGGTGGAATTTCTGATTGGGGATCGGGGGGGAAGAGTTAGGTAGCCATGAGGTCGGTCGCCCACGTGCTCGTCCTGGGCGCCATCGCCGGAGAGGATTGCGGTTTAGATTAGTTTTGTGTTCCGAAGTCGCTAAGGCAAGTGTAGTAACTCATGGCTCTGGCCCTGTCGTTCCCTCCCACGCACGTGCAGGAGAGTATGGGCTCCGGAACAAGCGTGAGGTCTGGAGGGTCAAATTTACCCTGGCTAAGATCCGCAAGGCCGCCCGGGAGCTGCTGACACTGGACGAAAAGGACCCGCGGCGTCTTTTTGAAGGTACATATAGGCTTATTTTCAAAAGGATGGGTGGTGGCCCCCGGGGTTGCTGAATTGAGCTTTTAGACTGCATTGTGGTCGTGGGAGGTATGACCCTGAACAAGTTGGGCTTATGGGGAATATTTGAGACGGAAGCTCATGGTAGGTCAGTTTGGCCTGTAAACTACCAGAAGTCTTAAAAAGTGCAGGGTTCGCAGGTGTGCGCCACTTCGCTTGGCTTGGGGGAATTTTCAACACAGACTTGGAAACAGATTCATGTTTCGGAGTTAGAAGAATGAGAGCTACAGGTATACGAGAGTTATTTTCGGTATTCGTGAACAGAAGTGAAAGTTGTCAAGGCAGCCTCTCAGGAGCCGTTTTCTAGTGAATCCTCTGGCTACAGTTAGGAAAGAAAAGCCTTGGAGTTTTGGAGTTAGCACTGCATTGACTCAGTCAGGTCTAGACTTTCCCATGTGGTAGTGACCACAAGAAAAGGTCTGTCGCTTAATTGACAGTGAGATTTCCGATTAGAAACTGAACGCTTTAATACCAGCTTGTGCCACAAGGAGTCTATTCGAGTTAACTTTCTAGAGTTTCGGGTCTGTCAACATCAGTCAAATGGAGGCCACGGAACAGTTTAATGGTAGGATGTGCTCTTGTGTCTTAGGTTTATCAGTGTGCGCTTTACTTTTTGCCTTCATAACTGAATGTTTTATATAACAGTAATGGCGTAATATTTTCCTTCTGGGGATATATTTTTGTATTTGTATCTGACCAGTATTTATAGAACATCAGAAATTGAGTCTATTTTAGGATACTGGAAGAAAATCAATGGTGAATTTTTTTTTTAACTTGGTTCTTTATATTTAGGATTTCTTACTAGGTGACTGGGCCTTCACAGTTAGCTTTCTTTCAAACTCCTGGGAGAATAGTCTGAGGAATAGATGTGGGTTGTTTCTATATATCTTGTTGGCTTGGTACTGTGTAGTTTAGATTATCTTTTGGTCTGTGCTCACCCTAGCCTCCCAAGTACTGTGATTCTTGTTGTGAAAGTAGCATGGTTTTTTGTTTGGCTTTTCGAGACAGGGTTTCTCTGTACCTTGGAGCCTGTCTGGGAAGCCTCTCTTTGTTTTTGTTTGGTTTTATTTATTTATTTTTGGTTTTTGAGGCAGTCTCTGTAGCTTTGGAGCCTGTCCTGGAACACTCTGTAGACCAAGCTGGCCTTGAACTCACAGTGATCCTCCTGCCTCTGCCTCCCAGTGCTGGGATTAAAGGCGTGCCCCACCACCGCCTGGCTTCTTAAGTTGAGTGTTAAAGCTCCTCCCTTAGTGGTGAAGGTTGAATGAAAGGCTGTAAACCTGTGGTATAAGCCTGTTGTTTAAAGGGTGACCCAGTGCCTGTGTCAGGGTCTCAGGCCTGCAGCTCTTAGAAGAAAGGTTGTTAGGCACATCACTGACACTCTTTTCTCCTGTGCTCTTTGCAAAATACAACATGGGTGAAAGCTGTAGGAACCTGCCTTACGGGGACTCTGAGGTGGAGTCTGAGGTCAGGACTGATTTGAGTTATGCTCCCCCCAGGCAATGCTCTGCTGAGGCGACTTGTTCGCATTGGGGTGCTGGATGAAGGCAAGATGAAGCTGGATTACATCCTGGGCCTGAAAATTGAGGATTTCTTGGAGAGGCGGCTGCAGACCCAGGTCTTTAAACTGGGTCTGGCCAAATCTATTCACCATGCCCGTGTGCTCATCCGCCAGCGTCATATCAGGTAAGCTAAAGCTAGGCCGGAAAGCCTTACTTACTCACCCTGTCTGCACTGTTGGTTTGTTTCCTTTGCTAAGCCGCTGTCCCTGTCTCCTGTGTAGCCTTCGGAGCTGACAAATCTGAGCTTACCCTGGGGGTTCAGAGTGAAAGCTTATGGGGGAATTGGGGACAGCTTTGTCTCCCTCCCCATAGCCCAGCGCAAGTGTCACTGCGGCTCAAGCCGTACACCTTGCGAAGTTCTCTGCCAGGCATGCAAGCAGCTGGACAGGTAATAGCTCTTGGTGCCCTCTTGGAGAGAGAGGATTGAGTTGATGTTGGTGGGGGGGCAAAGCTGTCATTGGAGCTGTGTGAGTTCCATCCCAGACCTCATTGCTAATTTGCCAGTTGATAATCAACCTGGCTGAAAGTGACTGGTGCAAAGACTAGTTGAATGAGTGAAAATTGCATACCTTTCCCCTTTTTGTGACTGATTTCTCCCTCACCAGCTTTATCTATGGGCAGAGGTGTACTATTGTTTGAGGTGGTGTGAGGATTATCAAACCATTTTAGCTACCTATAAGACTTCTGGGTCTATGAGGTCAAGAGTGCCCATCAGCCTGCTGTCAAGGACAGGACCAGTTGGTTCCACCTCTCACCTTGTCCCCTTAACCTGTCCTTCCTATTCAGGGTCCGCAAGCAGGTGGTGAACATTCCATCCTTCATTGTTCGTCTGGACTCCCAGAAGCACATTGATTTCTCCCTCCGTTCTCCTTATGGTGGTGGCCGCCCAGGCCGAGTGAAGAGGAAGAATGCCAAGAAGGGCCAGGGTGGTGCTGGAGCTGGTGATGATGAAGAAGAGGATTAAGTTAATGCCTCCCTAGACTGGAGGATTGTCTAGTTTTCCGGTTGACTAATAAAGCAGAATTAACACTTGGTTTATTGGTGTGCCTCTGCTGTGAACACAGCCTCTGTACTGGGAAGAAGCCCTGTTAGATGTAGGCCAGGCCACTATACAACTTGTTTGAAAATGTCCATAGGAGAGGAGAAAGTTGGTTGACCAGATGCTTTTCTGTTACCTATGCTGTGTGTAGTTGCTCCTTGTTTAGTGGGCTATAGCAGAAAACAAAATTCGAACCCAGCCATCTGTGGCCAAAATAGGTCTCCAGTGAGGTTGACTGTAAGCTTGCAAAGTGGCTTCTGTTTTGTAAGTTATGTCTCAAGATGTGGTAAGCAGGAAATAAGCTAGTGAACTCAGTTGCCCAGGGCTGCTTAAGATATTTTCAGCTATGTTTTGTACTCATGGTCAGGAGGGAGGCTGACTTCCTCATTTTCTGTTTTGCCTTTCTGGGAAGCTTGGGTCAGATGAGAGGATGTGGTTTGATCTCTGAGGAAGGGAGAACAGGCTTGAAATTGAAAAGCAACGGTCAAGTAAGAACAGCTACTTTGCTACTATATTTCAGTCCTTGAGAAGAGGACTCTGTCAGTTAAGTGGCCAGCTTCAATGCAAGAAAAGACCTTACAGCACTGTAAATCTGCATAGAATCTCAAGGGTAATGCAAGTGACAGGGCCCTCCCTATCCAGAGTACAAGGCTGATGGTTAGGTAACTTGGAGTAAGCTCTGCAGGAATTTGGGATTGTCTGGAAGCAGTCACCTTCCAAAACAAGCTCCTTCTCAGTGGCCTCCAGCCAGCATGGAGTTTATTGGAGCTAATAGTCCATAGCCACGGACTGTTGAGACCTCTGAATGTCTGGCCCCTTGGTGTAGGGTATAGAAGTAAGCTGGCAGGACCTGGCACAAAGATCCTTTTGCAGGCCAAATGCAACTAGACTTGACCAAGACTATTTAGTATGAGTCTTCCCATTCTTACACCAGAAACCACTTACCCATCTATAATCATCCACATTGCCTGTTCACATTTGCCTACTCAGCATGTCCCTCCTTTTACTGCTACACAGCTTCTCGAGAATGGGTGGCAGTGGAATATGTGAGTAGTGGTGGGAGTCAAGACTTGGTAATTATCAAGTTTGGTCTCAGATGCTATAGGAAAGTCTGCCTCCAGCCCACCCTGAAGTCTTGCCAGAGAACTGGAAAGGTGATCTCCCACCCCACTTAGAATTGAAGAGATAACAGTTCTCCTTGGTTCGAAATCAGGGGGAGTCCATAATAGCCTCAGTATGAAATTAAAAATACATGGATTAAGCCTCGCAATAAACCTAGCCAAGGAGGTGAAAGATCTACAAAGTTAAAACAAGCTTTCAAAGGTAAAGATGGCTCAGTTGGCAAAATGTTGCTGTGCAAACGAACCTGAGTTTGGGTCCCCCAGCACTCATATTAAAAGCTGCTTGCTTGTAGGGAGGGGGAAGAGTTATATTAAAAATATTTTATGTTCTCAAAAATTACAGTGCTGGGGAAGTGGTGACTGGGAGGTCCCTGGAGCTCACTGGCCACTCAGCCTACTACCGAAATTCATGGGCTCTGGGTTCAGTGAGAGAAATCCTAGATTTTGCTTGCCTGCCCCTTCCCTTCAGTAAGATAACCATTGATAAAGATGTCCAGCATTGGCCTGTGACTCTGCATGCTCATGTGTTCAAATACACATGCATCGCCCACATGTACAACACAAGAAACTGAAGGCACTAGAAGATGGGAAGGTTTTCTCTGTTCATGAGTCAGCAGTATGAAAATGGCTATATGAACCAAAGCAATGTAGAGATTGAGAGAGCAATCCCCATGAAAATTTGAATGACATTCTTCATAGAAATAGAAAATCCTGCCGGGCGGTGGTGGCGCACGCCTTTAATCCCAGCACTCGGGAGGCAGAGCCAGGCGGATCTCTGTGAGTTCGAGGCCAGCCTGGGCTACCAAGTGAGTTCCAGGAGAGGCGCAAAGCTACACAGAGAAACCCTGTCTCGAAAAACCAAAAAAAAAAAAAAAAAAAAAAAAAAAAAAAAAAAAAAAAAAAGAAATAGAAAATCCTGCCGGGCGGTGGTGTTGCACACCTTTAATCCCAGCACTCCGGGAGGCAGAGCCAGGCGGATCTCTGTGAGTTTGAGGCCAGCCTGGGCTACCAAGTGAGTTCCAGGAAAGGCGCAAAGCTACACAGAGAAACCCTGTCTCGACAAACCAAAAAAAGAAAAAAAAAGAAATAGAAAATCCTAAACTGGATATGGTGATGGATGCCTCTCCTCCCAACATTCTGAAGGCCAATGACCCTCCCCTACACACACACACACACAGACACACACACACACACACACACACACACACACACACACACACACACACACGTACTCTGTGCAGTCCTGGCTGTCCTGGAACTCAAGACCAGGCTGGCCTTGAGAACTCAAGAGATCCGCCTGCCTCTGCTTCCCAAGTGCTGGGATTAAAGACCCACAACCAGCCAATGACTTTGAGGACAGCCTGGTATGAGAAATTTCAGGTCAATCAGAGCTACACAACGAGACTCAAAGAACACAAGGCCAAAAACTTAAGATATATAAAAAAAACAAAATACCTCCAATATGGAAACTAATTCTAAACAGTGATGGTGGTGGTATCAACATGCCCAACTTCAAATTATAAATCTAGAACCATAGTAACACAACCAGCATTTTTTTTCTTTTTTAATAAATATTTTTATTTTATGATTAATTTAATTTTACATATCAGCCTTGGATTCCCCTTTCCTCCCTCCTCCCACCCCCAGCATTCCCCCCAAATCCGCCCCCCATACCCACCTCCTCCAAGGCAAGGTCTCCCCTGGGGAGTCAGCCCAGCCTGGTAGATTCAGTTGAGGCAGATCCAGTCCCCTCCTCCCTCCACCAAGGCTGAGCAAAGTGTCTCAGCATAGGCCCTAGGTTCCAAAAAGCCAGCTCATGCACCAAGGACAGGTGGGACCGGAACCTGTCCTTGGTACAGCCAGCACTTTTATTGGCACAAAAACAGGCACACATACCAACAGACAGCTAGCAAAGGATCCAGAGCTGGGCAAAGTACAAGCATGTGAGCTAGGTATTTTTAAAGGGGTGGAGCATGATCAGAAGTTCAAATTCAGCAACAATTAAATAGCAGGTTTGAGGCCAGCTGGGCTACATCATGCCTGAAGTACATCAAACAAGGAAAAGAAAGAGAAAGACGGTAACAGGATCCAGAAATAAACCTACCAAGGATAAGTCCTTGAGTTCTGGAATGCCGGGCAAGTGCTCTACCACTGGGCTATATCTTTTGGGACGGAAATCTCACTAATTTGTAGAGAATGGCCTTGAACTCACTCTGCAACTAAAGTGGATTTTGCATTTTCTATCGCCCTGCATCAGCCTCCAAAGTAGCTGTGACGTCTGGTCAGTACTGTGCCACCAGACCTAGCAATTTTTACAATTGTAAGCTACTCACTGTTTTTGAAACTAATAGTAAAAAGCAAAACAAACTAATATTAAAACAAAGAAAAGAGAAAACCAAACCACCAGTGTGATTGTGATGTCCTTAAAAATAAATTACTGGCCAGGCGGTGGTGGCACACACCTTTAATCTCAGCACTCGGGAGGCAGAGCCAGGTGGATCTCTGTGAGTTCGAGGCCAGCCTGGTCTACAGAGGGAGTTCCAGGAAAGGCACAAAGCTACACAGAGAAACCCTGTCTCAAAAAACCAACAAAACAAAACAAAACAAAAACAAAAACAAAAAAATTAAAAATTGGAACTGGAAAAAAATGGCTTAGCAGTTAAGAGCACTAGCTGCTCTTCCAGAGGACCCAAGTTCATCCCAGCACCCACATGGCAGCTCACAATTATCTATCACTCCAACTTTTTGTTTGTTTGTTTATTTATTTACTTGTTTTTTTTTTTCGAGACAGGGTTTCCCTGTGTAGCTTTACACCTTTCCTGGAACTCACTCTGTAGACCAGGCTGGCCTCGAACTCACAAAGATCTGCCTGGCTCTGCCTCCCGAGTGCTGGGATTTAAGGTGTGCACCACCACTGCCCAGCTATTTATTTATTGCTTTTACTTCTCAATGAAAGTTTCTTCTCCCTCCTCTCCTCTTCACCCCCAGCCCGCCCCGCATTCACTCCTCCTGTTCCTCTTCTGAAAACTGAGAGCATCAGTAGATATCAGCCAGCCACTGTATATAAAGTTGCAGTGAGACTAGGCACCTCCTCTTCTATTAATGCTAGATGAGGCAATCCAGGAGGAAGAATGGGTCCCAAAAGCAGGCATCAGAGTCAGGGATAGCCCCTGCTCTCACTGTGAGGAGTCCAACAAGACCGAGTTACACAACTGTAATATATATGTAGAGGGTCTAGGTTAGTTCCATGCAGATTCCCTGGTTGTTGGTTCATTAACTTTTTTTAAGAGGTCACATCTAGTGAAAGAACTTTCTTCCTAGGTTTTCTTTGTCAAGTTTTGTTAAAAAATTATTTTCTGGTCTAATGAACTATGATGGGCTATATTTCCTTTTTCTCTAGTTTCATGTCTTTATTTCAAATACACAAGCATTTGGAAAAAATCACCAGCTTCCAGAAAGAGAATTTCCAAAGGGGAACTTTTCTAGTGACAGTGTGTTCAATATATTTTGTATTTATTAAGCAATAAAATAACTTTTCTTGACGTCAAGGAATCTGTCTATTTTATATCCAGCTACTAATTTATTGGTATAAAATTGTTCATAGTGCTCTGCTGTTATTACATTTTTAGTGAATGTAAGGAGGCAGGAAAAGTAGCTCTGTGATTAACAGCATGCACTACTCTTGCTGAGGACCTGAATTCAGTTCCCAGCACCCACAGCATGTAGCTCACAAACATCTATAACTCCAGCTCCAATGTCCACTCTGGCCTCCATGGGCATCTGTATGTACACAGCATAAAAATACACAAACACATATACATACACATAAATAAAACACAATAAACCTTTAAGAAAATAAAGTGAATATATTGTTGTACATATCAGGAACTGAGGCAGAAGGACAGCAGGTTTGACACCAGCCTTGTTGGGTTTACAGGCCTATACCACCATACCCAGCTTTCATTTATGATTGTTAGTTTATATTTTAAATTGTTTTTTGTTTTTTTTTTTTTTTGTTTTGTTTTTCGAGACAGGGTTTCTCTGTGTAGCTTTGCGCCTTTCCTGGAACTCGCTTTGGAGACCAGGCTGGCCTCGAACTCACAGAGATCCGCCTGGCTCTGCCTCCCGAGTGCTGGGATTAAAGGCGTGCGCCACCACCGCCCGGCTATATTTTAAATTGTTTTATTTATTTCTTGGGTGTGGGGAGGACAGCAAAGACTTAGGTGGAGGTCAGAGAACAATTTGTGGGAGTCAGTTTTCTCCTTCCCCTATTCCTGCTGATTGAGCTTAGGATATCAGGCTTGGTGGCAAGTACCTTTACTGGCCAAGCCATCTCACTGACCCTATTTTATTTATCTTTTCTTTGAGACAAGGTTTCTGTATGTAGCCCTGGCAGTCCTGGAATTCCCTATTAGACCAGCTGGCCTCAGACTCAAAGACTACCTTCTAAGTGCTGAGAATGAAGGCATGCATCACCATGCTTGACCTATTTTAAAACAGCGTCACATGTGTTCCAGGCTGGGATCTTACTCCTGTGCTGTGTAAGTGAAGATGACCTTGACTTCTTGATCCTTCTGTACACACCTTCAAAGTGTTAGGATTTCAGGAGTGTACCTCCACCCTGGCCTTTGGTGGTTAATGTGTGAATCATGCCTCACTTTGTAGCCCAGGCTGGCATGAAATTCACTAGGTACACCAATATAACCAAAAAACAAAGGCAATTCTCCTGCCTCAGCCTCACAGGGGTTGGGATTACGGATCTGTGCAACCAAGCCTGTAAATTGCTGTGGGATGTTCTGTATGTCAAATGTGTTGCTGATTGGTCAATAAATAAATCACTGATTGGCCCGTGGTCAGGCAGGAAGTATAGGCGGGACAAGGAGGAGAATAGAGCTGGGAAGTGGAAGGCTGAGTCAGAGAGACACTGCCAGCCGCCATGATGAGAAACAGCATGTAAAGATGCCGGTAAGCCATGAGCCATATGGCAAGGTATAGATTAATGGAAATGGATTAATTTAAGCTGTAAGAACAGTTAGCAAGAAGCCTGCCACGGCCATACAGTTTGTAACCAATATAAGATTCTGTGTTTACTTGGTTGGGTTTGAGTGGCTGTGGTACTGGCGGGTGTCAGAGATTTGTCCTGACTGTGGGCCAGGCAGGAAAACTCAAGCAACAGTAAATTTTCTCATTTCACGGCTTTGATGAGTGATGTCATTAAATTAGTACTCAGTGTGAAACCATTCCCTTCTATTTAGTTTCTCTTTTCACATGTTTATTGAGGAACCTGCTTTATTTCCAAAATGTATCATGTTAGTTAAAATGCAGTTGGGTTCCCAAAAGTTCACAGAACCCCCTGGAGGTCTCTGTTAGGTCTCCTGGCAGGCAGAGGGTCATTGCTCCTTGTTACTGGGAACAGAGCCCAGTTGAGTGACTGCCAGAGCAGCATATACAGTGGACTCCTCTGGGGCTTCCCCTGCCTGGGAGGGAGGAGGTGCAGCCGTCCCCTCTCTGAGTGACCTGATGCACAGCTGGGCATAGGTCACATCCTGGGGCTCCTCGGATTCAGCAGCCTGGAGTGGGAGAGAGTGGGAGGAGGGTTTATGCTTGACTTGGGGGATGCTGAAGTCCTGTGGAGGACAGGACCCACCTGAGCATCCATCTCTCTGTCATCTTCTGCTTGTCCATCTTTGGCGGCCAGGACTTCTCCTGACATGACAGAAGGAAGGACAGCTCCTGCCCTCCTGAGCCCGGAGCCTTTCACCTGGGCATATGTCTCTCCCTGGGGGTCTTCCTCAGCTGGTCTCTGTAGCAGGGAAGTAGTGAGGGACAGACAGTGTCTCCCTGTTCCCCTGGGGAGCTCTGGCCAGTTTTCCACAGCATGACCAGAGTGACCCATTTAGATGACAGCATCCCTGATGGGATCTTCTGAGGCTTCCTTCCTACAGTTCTGGCATCTTATCTTGACATTCTAACTGTCTTGGCTGTACCCACACAGTCCATCTTCCTGAAAACATTTCTGGGGGCTGGAGAGATGGTTCTGTGGTTAAGAGTACTGACTACTACTGCAGAGGATCCAGGTTTGCTTCCCAGAACCCACATGGCAAGCTACATTCATTTGAAACTCTCATTCTGGGGTATCTGACACTTGTCTTCTGGCCCCTGAGAGCACCATGCAGGTATGTGGTGCAGAGACATGCATGCTTGCATGACATCTACACACACAAAAAACAAAACCCCACATGTTTCTGCCCAAGTCCCTTTGGTTCCTGCCTGCAGCTGCTAGTCTCTTAGATGTTTCTGTGGGCTTTTCCATCTGGGCTGTCCCCTCAGAAGACAACCAGACAGATGCCAAGGAGCCAGAAAATAGACAGGAGCGATGAGACACATGATCCCGGGAAAACCAGGGGAACATGAGGCCACAACACACAGGAGGCAGGTACTTGCAGAAGGGAGTGGTCAGCTGTAATTGCTTCTGAGGGCCAAGAGAGGTAGAACAAAGAAGCCCCTGTCCCTCCAGACTAAAATAGGCCGTAAGTTCTTAGCACTGCTGATAGGAACATGGACCTCACCCAACTGTCCAGCTTGGCACCATCCTCAGGCTGTGTGTCCTTCACTGAAGCATCTGTCACAAGAACAAACAGAATGTCTCCTGACCAGAGTCTAGGGATGACTCTGACCCCTGGTTTCCTACATTGCCCCAAATGTGGACAGAGATTTGGGGAGTGTTGTGATAGCCCTGTGTCTATAGGATGAAGTTCAGACCCAAATAGCAAAGACCCCAGAGCCTCTCCACCACCCCTGCAATGCTGGGTCCTCAGACATCTCCCACCCCAGGACCCTCTTTGTCTCACAAAGGTTTTCTTCCTGGGTGGCAGCAGCTGGATTGGATCTGGAGAGACAAGAAGACATCAGTTGGCAGTGAGGTGTGTCAGGAAGGTGGGGGTCTATGTCTCTGGCCATGAGTTACCTATTCTGGGAGCCTCTGTCGCTGGTTATGGGCTCTGCAGCTCCTGTAGGAAGTTGCAATTCCGTATCTTTGTGGGCTGCAAGAGAGAGAAGAGTCTCAGCATCCTTCCTCCCCCCAAGGCATTTACAGGGAAGGAAGGAAGGAAGGAAGGAAGGAAGGAAGGAAGGAAGGAAGGAAGGAAGGAAGGGAGGGACCTTTACATCATGGGTGAGTGAGCAAATGTCCCAGGCCATGGTGAAGCTCACAGAACACCTGACATTGTACAGGTTCTGAGATCATGATCTTTCTGATCTGAGATCTGCAAATGTTTCTAAACTACCCAGCCCAAGTTTGAGGGGTCCCTGGGGCTGGTGTCCTGATCCTGTGCTTGGATGTTCACAGGAGAACCTGAGACCCAGGTCACCCACACCGTACTCACCATCCTTCCTGAATTTTCCCTGATGCCTTCGTCGGAGAAGGAGGAAGATGAGGATGAAGAGGAACAGGAGGAAGGCCACAGAGACTCCGACCAGAGCCTTCAGGTACCCTTCCAGTCCTGAGGCACAAGTGACATCATGAGTGGGGAATGGTGCTGCTTAACTGAGTACCTACTGTGTGACAGACGCATGCTGGGTCTTTGCACTCATCTTCTCCCATCCTCACAATCAATCAACAAAGAATTGTCTCTTTTTCTGTCCCCACAGTTCACCTGCCTCAGATCACCTGACTGGAAGTAGCAGAGCTGGAAAGTGAACCTGGAGACTCTTACTTACAGCTCTTTTCTCTACACCTGAACTAGCCTTATGAGTTGGAGGGAAGGAGCCTGAATGTCCTGCCATGGCTCTATGCCCCACCCTTGCACATGCCACCACCACTGTGGGACAGACCCACTGCAGAATCAGGTTCTGGGGACTCCTTTGTCAGGAGAGGTCACAGCCAAGGCCAGCCCTGAAAGAAATTTAGACATGTGGGCCAGGCTTCTCCTCTTTTTACTCAGCCAATCCAGAAAGGGAAAGGCTGGTCCCAGTCAGCATCTCCAGAAGCAGCTGTGTGGATCCCATAACTAGCTATTGCCCATCTGGGCCCCACCTTCCAACAGAGTCCTTATTAGCCTCTGGGACCTGACTCCATGCAGGTGAGAGAGGTTTGTTTTCAGGGCCTTAGAGGCAGGATGGGGAGGCAAATGTCTGGGATCCCTGCTCTCCACCTCACCCACCTGCCCCATCCTCCAGACAGAGTCAGAACATTCTGGATGCCACCTTTCTGTATCCAAACCCCTAAGTCCTGGGTCTCTGGGGTCTCTGCTGGGATCTCTGTTTGCCTCCCTCACTCACAAGCTAAAGTGACAGAGAAATGAGGACTTCAGTGGGCTAAGAGATGCCAGGCAGCCTGGGGATGGAGCATACTCCCTGCACTGAGGTGCCTGATACTCACCGGCTGTTGGCATGGACTTTGAGGGTGGTGGGCTGGAGGTTCCAATGGGTCCTAGGAAACAGAACAAGAGGGGGTGAGGGTTAGATGCCAACGAAGGGGCCTCTCTCTGCTCACTGTCCTGTAACCTCCCCAAGATGCTCATGCTGTCTGACTCAAACCTAGATTTCAATAAAGGATGGAGTGGACATTATGAGAATGACTGCTGCTGGCATCCACTTCTCTGGCAGGGAAAGTGCCATCCGACTAACCTTCCTATTGTCCCCTTAATCCCACCCAAGTCAAGGGGTCTACTAGGGTTTGGACTGTAAGTCACCCTGAGAGTTCAGGGTCACCTCACCTGAGACTGTGAGCTCCACAGGGGCACTGGCTTGTGTCAGCAGGTAGGGAGATGAGTCTTGAGATCCATAGCACCTGTAGGTGCCTGAGAGGTCAGAGGTCACAGCACTCATGGAGAATTCTGCTTGGAACTCCCAGATTTGAAAATTTGATTTTAGTCGCTGGGGTTGTTGGGCTGCTCCCTCCTTGGACAGAATGAAAGTGTCCACCGGGTATGTTGACTGACACAGCAGGGTCACGTTGTCTCCAGAGTGTACTGTGGAGTTAGGCTTCACTGAGAGGGAAGGAATGACAGGAAAATGTCCTAAAGAGAAGAGGGATGATGAGAGGCTGCCTTTAACAGATGACACATCACCTGTGTCTGCCCTGAGCACCTGGTTCTCTGTCTCTCTTCTCTGACTTAGCCCCTGTCCTGTTCCCCTGTCTCTGCATCTGTTCCCAAATAATATTTCTGTCCCTCATCCCAGCCATCAGCTCCTTAACTCCCCCATGAGAGCCCAAGCTGAGGTTAGGTACCTGAGGGAATCTATTTAGTTCCTCACCTGTGATCAGGATGTCCAGGGGGTCACTGGAGGCTGACCACTCAGAGGAGAGGTTGTGTGCACCATAGCATCTGTATTGGCCTCCGGTAGATCTGCTAACAGGGCCCAATGTGAAGTTGGCCAAGGAGAGGCCAGCCTGGGTCCACTGGACACCATGATGGGGGAAGTCAGCTTCCCCAAGCTTGAACAGGGCAAATCTGTCATAGTTGATGTCAGAACAACACTGCAGGGTGAGGCTGTTTCCAGGGTCCAGGATCTGGCCTTGGTCAGTCAGCAAGGAGGGCTTCTTGGACAGACCTAGAGGGAAGGTGACAGCTACTGATTGAGGAGCTGGTTTTTACCAAACACTTATCCCCGCCCATCCTGCTCTGCACACGTCATTGCTTCTCCCCAGGAGTGGGGCTCTGGCTCAGCCACCAGGCTCTTCCTCAACCTCTCTCTACCTGCAACTACCCAGTGGGACAGGATTGGTCAATGATGGTGCTGACTCACCTGAGATGTGTATTTCCAGGAGCTCACTGGGTACTGACCACAACTGTGGGGTATCCTTATAGTAACCGTAACATCTGAATGTCCCTCTGTGGTCTGGTGTTACATGATCTATAGAGAACAAGGCTTGCCACTGCCTGATATGGTATATATACTGTGAGTTCTGAGAGCTGAGGAACTTCTGATCTTCCTTGGTGAGAACGAGTTTATCATATCCCTCCTGTGAGACACACTGGAGAGTCATGTTACCTCCTGAGGTCACCACAGGGCTGGGCAGGACTGACAGTCTGGGTTTATTATAGTAGATTCCTAGGAGAGAAGGAGATGGACTGTTACATGGGTCACACAGCCACACTGTTCTAGAGGGCTAGGCTGTGGGAGGGGAATACTTCTGAGAGCAGAGCCTGGGGCAGACACCCTGACTGTTCCCTCACCTGTCACCACCAGTTCCAGGGTGTCACTGTGCTCTGACCAACCAGCTGAGCTGTAACAGTAACAGCGATATTGTCCCACATGTTGCAGTGTCATAGAAGGAATGAAGAACTTGGCCTTGTTCTTAGGCTTCTCTGGCATCTGTATGTCCCAGGTTTTCTGGCTTCCCTCTTTATGCAGAACACATATTTCTGCATCCAGGCTCCCCTGACACCAGATGGTCACAGCACTTGTGTAAGTGACCACAAAGCCTGGCTCAGCCTTGATGGTGGGTTTGTGGAGGGTCCCTGCAAGGATGTAGGAGAGAAGAAGTTGGTTCCGTCTGAATGTGGCACAGAGAAAGTCACAGTTGCGGATGGCAGTTTTTCCTTTTATTTTATTCTTCTCTCATACAATACATCCTGACAGCAGCCTCCCCAAATCCTCTCTCCCGCAGATCCACTGCTCCTGTTTCCTTTCAGAAAGAACAGGTTTCCCAGTGATATTAACTGAACACAGAATAACAACATGACTAACAACATAACATACATAACATAACAACAGGAATAACAACATAACAATAAGACTAGTCACTGCCGGGTGGTGGTGGCTCACACCTTTAATCCCAGCCCTCGGGAGGCAGAGCCAGGTGGATCTCTGTGAGTTCGAGGCCAGCCTGTTCTCCAAAGCAAGATCCAGGAAAGGCGCAAAGCTACACAGAGAAACGCTGTCTCAAAAAACCAAAAAAAAAAAAAAAAAAAAAAAAAAAAAAGACTAGTCACACATCCTCATATTAAGGCTGGACAAAGCAACCCAGTAGGAGGGAAAAGATTCCACGTACAGGCAAAAAAGTCTGAGACATCCCCATTCCTATTGTTTAGTCTAACAAAAATCCCAAATGAGCCAGGCAGTGGTGGTGCATGCCTTTAATTCCAGCATTCAGGAAAGAGATGCAGGCAGATTCCTGTGAGTTCAAGGCCAGCCTGGTCTACAGACTGACTTCCAGGGCAGCCAGAGCTACACAGAGAAACCCTACAAAACAAAACAAAACAAAACAAAATCACCCAAGGTAAACAACCACAGCATGTGTGCAGAGGGCCTAGGGCAGACATGTGTAGGCCCTGTGGCTACTGTTTCAGTCTCTGTGAGCCCTCATGAACCCTGCTTAGTAGATTCTGTGGGCCGTGCTCTCCTGATGTCCTTCCCCCTCTCTTCTGTGGGGTTCCCTGAGCTGTTGTGGATGGCACATGAGCTGATCCAGAGTAACAGAAGGTCCATTAGGATTCATCTCTGTCCTGACCTCCTGGGCTTTGCAGTCACTCTCTGCCTTGGATTCTGCACCTTGTGTCCCTCTCTCTCCCATGCTCTGTGTCATGGGCTCAGGAGCTCTGGCCCCTCACACACACCACACACCAAGACCTCCCTGAGCATCTGTATCGTTTCCATTTCATTCTATGGAAAGGCTGGGGTTCCTTACCTGAGAACAGGAGCTCCAGGGGGTCACTAGGTTCTGACCACAACTGTGGGCTGTTCTTGCTAAAGCTGTAGCATCTGAATGTCCACCTTTGGTTGGAGGTCACAGGGCCCACAGAGAACAGGGCCTGGTACTGTCCAGTATAGAGGTTATACTGTGAGTCCAGTGTCCAGGAGAGCTTCTGAGGTCCTTCCTTCGTCAGAATGAGGCTGTAATATTGCTGTCTTGAGACACACTGGAGGGTGACAATCCTTTCTTCAGTCACCACAGGGCTGGGCTGGGCTGAGAGACTGGGTTTACTGAAGGCTCCTACGAGAAAAGGAGGATCAGTAAATGTATCAGGCCTCCTTATCCTTTATGGCTGTGAGGTGGAGGTAACCCTGTGAATAGACCCACCTCTTGACAGTCAATCCTGAGGCTGGGGACTCTATGTGATCTCTCACCTGTCACCACCAGCTCCAGGGAGTCACTGTACTCTGACAACCATCCATCATAGATCTGATATTGACAGCGATATCGTCCTGCATGGTTGTGGTCTGTTTTTGAGATTGAGAATTCAGCCTTGTTCTTAGGATTTTGTAGAAACTCTATGCGCTTTAGTTTTTGGTTTTCCTCTTTATAGAGTCTGTATGCTTTAGCTTCTGTGGTCCCCTCACATAAAAAGGTCACTGTAGTCTGCTTGGAGACCACAGAGTCTGGCTGTACTCTGAGGATAGGCTTAGGGAGGGCCCCTGCAAGGAAAAGAGCATCTAGGACTCAGGACAGCCATCAGATTGTAGCTCCTAACCCCAACCCTCCAGCCATGCCCAGGGTCAGCACACATGTGTTGTTCTCCATCCTCACTGCCCAGTCATGGCTGCAGGAATGATGAGAAGTGAAGGTCAGGACATCTGCAGACACTCACTCACCTGCAGGCCTTGGGGTTCCCACTCCCAGAGTCATTCCTGGAAGAGAGTTCCCTGTGAGAGGTTTGTCCCTGAAGCTTAAGCAGCCCCCGCTTCTGCAGAACCTTCTAAGACCCTGATGGGACCGCGCTGGGCTGTGGGGAAGCATCAACCCTAGACCACAGTATCCCCTCCCCCTGTGCACATCTCACCCAGACAGAGAAGGGCTGTGTAGGTGAAGGTCATGGCATCTCGTCTTGGAGGCTGCAACTGTGCTCATGGGCAGAGCTACAGAGACCATCTGGAGGGACAGGAGACACAGGGTGTGGCCTTTGGAGGCAGGACACTCCCTATGACATGGTTGTAGTTCAGCAGCCCCACAGGAAGAGGAAGTGCCCTCCTCAGGCACCAGGCTCTGACTTCCCCAAGGATGTGGCTAGGTCAGGTCGTAGACTCTGCAATCAATTCTTTGTCTGTTTCATCTGTCCTCATCTTTTTCTGTTCCAATTGGAACTGACAAATTATCAGACATGTCTGAATATTACACATATAAAACACAAATTTACATGTGGGTTTGCTTTATTCCTTTCACACTTTTTATGTGAAATACTTCTTTGTATTCAAAATGTTTAAAAGTTTCTGTGAAGAGTCTCACTGTGTACATCTGCATGGAATGAAATTTATAATCCTCTTCCTCATAGTCTCAGTGCTGGGTTACAAATGTGTACCTCTATTTTGGTTGTTTG